TGTTTGCTCGCAATAATTGGAAAAGGAAAACTACAGAATTTTTTATTAAAATTGTAATTCAAACTAGCTTTTGAGAAGGACATTGAACACTTGTGTCTTGAACTCATAATTATGTTTTCATTGAATCTAGGAGGAGTTTGGATGTTCGAATTTGTTGGGAAAACTATAAGCTCGATCTATCTTCTGTTTTTGGTAAACTTAAAAAGCTTTTTTTCGATAAGCTCATTTGAAAAAAAAAACAAGACTGCTCGTATCAGAGCTAAACCTTGAATGTTCCGATTTTAATATTTATGGAGTAGTTGGAAAATGATTAAATCAATTGATGAAATTTTCAAAAAAATAAAACAATTTTATTTAGGTTTTTTTGACAATCATCACCCCACACGCTATGAAAAAAAAATTATTTTACAAATTGCAATAAACAAAATAGAGCGAAGGCTATAAGAACGTTATATAAGGTTAAGACGTGATAATAACATAAAAAAGATCGCGCGTTAATTGTCTCAAGTTGGCCATATTGGCAACCCTTAAGCCCCCATAAATTTACGAAAACACATCACAGTTAAATATCATTTTTTGTTCCGAATTTCGAAGAAAACGGAATAATTATGTTTAGTGCGGTTTTTTATTCAGTCAACTTTCGGCGATTCAAATAATTATTTTTAACAAAAATAAATTTGAGCCCCATTGAAGATGTTAACTCCTCAAAAACGAATTGAAAAGTTTTTTTTCCTCCAATCATTTTTTGCAAAGATTTCGGAGTTCAAAAATTGCCAACATAGCTATGCTCTGGAATATTTTGTGTGCGCGCTTTGAAGAGTTTACTCATATTCTTTAAAGCATAACGCGAATTATTTATGCGTGGCAAATTATCCCGCACAACAATATCATTCCAAATTAAATTGAAGCTAACTAATCGGGCGCATTCAATTCGTGTGATCTGAAATTTCACCTTTGATCTGTGATTTTGTCCAAAAATTTTATTTTTTAAATGTTTATTTTTCCCAAAACTAAATGATATGGATTGAGGCGCAGTCGGAACTTTATGGGGTTTGCCCTGATAACGAGCAGTCTTGTTTTTAAGTTGGAGCTCAACTTAACATTACCTTTCGGTTTGTATAAAAATTCTGTCAAAAATTGCTAGTCAAAAGCTGAAGTTCGCCTAGAGAAAAAAACCACCCGAATACCAATATTTCGTTAATTTCTACCAAAATAGTCGGATCAACAAAAACAAATTTAAAGAACAACTTTGATGCGCTCATTTCGGAAAAGTTGTTTTCAATAATTTCAATAAGTATTATTTGTTCCGAGTTTAGAACAAAACGGATTATTTATGCTTGGTGTGGTTTGCTTTATTCAGTCACTTTTCGCCAATCGAAATAAAAGTTTTCAACAGATTTTTTTTACCCCATTGAAACTATCGACTTCTTGAGTTCAAATCTTGATCAAAATTTTTTTAAACTCCGATCAATTTTGCATTTTTCTAGGAGTTTGAAATAGGCTAATTTGGACTAAATTCTGCGCGCTTTGAAGAATTAATTTGTAATGCTGAGAGCGTAACGCCAACTATTTTTGCGTGGCGAATTATCCCGCAAAACAAAATCTTTCCAAATTGTACTGAGGTTAACTAATCGATCGTATTTATTTCGTAGGACTTAAATTTCATCTCTGATTTTGTCCAAAATTCATAGATTTTCAGTATTTTTTTAAAAACTTTCCGATATGGATTAAGCGGCAGTCGGAACATTCAGGTATTGCCCTGATATATGAGCAATCTTGTTGGCTATTTGTCGCACTTTTTGTGTGCCATATGCAAGACAAGCATGTATGGTGAAAAGTAGCGGAAAATCACAGAATGAAACATGCAATGAACGAGATATTGAACACAAAGCGACTTTCAGAATAGGAAGTTATTGCCAAGCCAATTTCAATATTTATAGTAATATTGCTTATCGTGTAATATTGCTAATAAAGGACCATCAATTAAAGCCGCTCATCGCTGTAGAAAACCTGTTGTTCCTTCGACCAATGAACTTGGGTTGTTAATTGCCGTCGTCATTTCTTAAGTAACCTGAAAAAAAAAACATAGAGGGTATCCAGATTGGTACAATATTAAGATATCTCTAGCTATGTCCCCTCTTTAGTACCTAGTAAGAAATCGCCATCTCTATTATGACCTAGTTCAGCGGTTAATCAAATGCGAATTTTGTACCTATTATCAAATCTCGTGTCCCCCTTTTGCAAAAAGGGGATAATTGAAGAGATCTCAATATTAAAAGTTTGTCTCTTGTTTTTGAGCGGCTTTTTCATTTGAAAGCTGAATTCAGGTTGGACGAGCTGAAAAACAATGAAGTTGTCACCCTTTAGCGGCGAACTGAAATCCTTGATTAGATATGGTAGATCCGATGCATTGAGAGAGAATATATTGCCCTCCTTTAGCAAAAAGCCAGCACTGCTGGCTTGATTTGATTGTTTAACGGAATGGCTTTGGGAAATGACCCCCCAAAATGGTGAGAAAATAGAATAGACTGAGTTTTTGACGTATTTATGGACCAAAAAGAAACTGCAAGATGTCCAAAACTTTCAACAAACTGGGCATCTGCTATTTATTTGTAAAAATTGATTGTTTATTGGCTGATAGTCTATTGCTAATTGTACCGAACCGTTTTTCATAGCAGTATTCACAATGGGAGCCAAGAACTGTTCACTCGTGCATTTAGTCAATCGCACGATATGTTCTTATTAGATGAGTTTTTTTTCAGTTTCTGCCCCCACTTTTGCTTGAAACGGCACCGGAACTTGTTCTCCCTTTTCTTGACTTATAATCAGCGGGGAATTGAATGATGAGATAATGCATGAGGTTTCTTTGCATATCCAAACGTTGAAAAACTAAATCCGAATTTCTCTTTGTATACGGCTTCCACTTTTCCCAAATTACATTAAGGTCTACTTTAGTGACTACATCCGGACGATATCCGGTCTAACTGGAAATATCTGTACTCCCAGTTTCGATTACACATCTAGTACGATTCTCTAAACATAGGAATTGAGCGGACTTTGAATTCCATCCCAAAGACGAAACATTTACGATCGGAGTACGAGGCAATTCAACCTTGCACTATTGTAGTTGACATACATTGTATCTATTGGGCACTTTTGAATGGGGAAAATCTTAGTTGAAGGCAAGTAATTGGTTATCAGATCAGCTGTTCATTTACAAGCGAGGGAGACCGGGCTGCCTGTGTCCGCGGTCGTTTTTAATAAAGTTTTTGCACATCCGAAAGTAATCTGAAAACTCCTCACCTTACCGGTCGCCGCCTTTTTCACTGACCCGGTTGATTCCAAAAATGGGGATAACTCACTTGGGAATATTTCATTGTCAGTCGCCAAAACTGCCAACTCCGATTCCATATGAGAAGTTATGAAATTAAAGCCTAATTTGGTCATCTCGTCCAAATCTGCATCTCCATTTGCCACCCTACAAAAACTTCAGCCCTTAGCAAATTGTCCTTTCTTGCTACAATTCAGGCAAGTGACACCTCGAGCTTGGCAGGATTGTTTATGATTCTCATGAATTTATTTCCAGAGAAATTGCAAGGCTTTCCGGAAATATAGCAAATAAAGAGGAAATCCAATAGCGAGTTTTCCGATTTCTCTTGTTCTTGGTTCGAGTTCTTGGTTCGAGTTTGATTGCAGCCGATTGATTCTGTCTGAGAGTTAAGTTTTTTTTTTGCTCTGTTCTAAAAACAAAGATCTATGTTTGATCCGGAAGTTTCGAAATTTTTTTGGCTGGATTGGGTCTGACTTCCCGAGGATGACGGATTTTCTAATTGTTTCTGAAAAGTGGATGCAGTTTGTGCCCCCTTTTTCAGAAGCAGGGCTTTTTCAGTGTGCACATGGCGGATACCTAAGTCCCTCTGAATATCCTTAAAGTGCATTTTAGCAAGAGCAAAACAATGAAAAAACACATGACGCTAACTGCTTCGTTCTCTCTATATTAATAAAGTCTTACCAAAATAGGTCTTACTAGATCGAAGTTGTTCCATCTAAACTTGCTGTTCCGACTTCTGAAGAAATTGCCGGAACATTTGAGCTCGGGTTTTTTTTCTCTAGACAAATATTGACTTTATTGAGTTAGGACCGAGGTGTATAACTCATAGAGTAATTTCGGATAGGGTACACCGTCTGCTCGTCACGCTATCTTATTTTCGGCCGGATAGATTCGTGCAACTTCTTAGTCTAATACCAATCCTAATCTTACTCTTATACTATCTAGTCTCAGGTTGTTTAACTAGTCTCTGCTAGGCTCAATAGATCTAGGGTATACTGGTTTATTGCGGTTGCTGAAGTCTTCTTGGAGAGTCAACTAATTTCTAAGTTAAATTCAAATCTCTCTGGTGCTGAAATTACAAGTAATTTCAGCACTTACAAATAAGTGGGTTGTTAGTTAGATGGATCATGATTGGTTAATATTAAATACTTTACAGTGGTAAAATATCTAATTTATCCAATCATAAAATGTAGTTTAGATCAGGTTCCATTATGACAAGCCATTTTTGACAGAATTTTTGCCGCCAAAACGTATCGTTGTCTTGAGCTCAAATTTAAAAAAATATTTGACCTGTGATCATTTTTTGTAAACTTATGGGGTTTTAAAGGTTGCCATTTCGGCCAATTAGATTTTCTACTTTTGTTCAGGCGAATTATTTCACTTTGCACTTTTTTTAAATTGTTTTTGAAAATTTCATCACTTTTTCAAAGCAAACACTTCTAGATGGACCCTAAAAGGCAGTCGGAACAATAAGGGCTTTGTCCTGATACGAGCAGTCGTGTTGTAGTGTTTTAAACGTGATTTTGTTCTCGAAAAAACTTGAATACACAAGAATATATTAAACAATTCCAAAATGCTGCTGATTGCGATTGTAAATAAACCTTCATTTTTTATTCAAAGTTAATTTAAATTAATTTGATTGTAGAGACTTTCGATTTCTCCAGAACACAAATTCATTTTGATTTTGATTTTTTTTTGCATAGTGCTGACTTCAATCTAGAGAAATCATGTCATTGCGTATTTTTCAGCTTACATATTTTAATCAAAATAACTATTGACATAATGCAGATAAAACCTGTTTGATTAAAAATTTATAAAGAATACATGATAAATGATTGTTCCAAGTTAAGATTATACCATTCCATAAGCGTCAAAGTTATTTAAAATCTTGAACTTCAAATTTTACGCGAACACAATCATTGGTTTATTATCAAATAAATGGGCAATACTTCATTTGAAACGTCCAAAGGCCGTGAAAATTTTAAAAAAATAATGCAAGATTATACAAATGGTGAAGCTAAAATGAGCAAATTGCGCAAAAATTGGTATTTGCAATCACATATATTCAAATATGCGTTACATTCTCTCAAGATCTACACGTGCATATGGTTGCAGAGAAAAATTCAAAACAAAAGAGAGTTCCTCCGATATACAATTTTTATTACAGATCATTGCCGTCCGTGAACCAAGTTCGCTTATGTCGCACGCTCGAAATCTCACTCGAAGAAACTGGAGAAAGCGTTCCTCAGCTTTTTGATCGAAGCATCGTCGGGTTGCTCTGTGGGCGGCGGAACACCTGCACTTGGAGGTGGCGCACCGTTCATTCGTCCACCCGGTGGCATCTGCTGGCTCTGGGGAGGTTGCTGCGGAGGACCTCTTTGAGGAGGTCCCGCTGGAGGTCGAACTCCTCCCATTCCTTGAGGTCCCATCGGAGACTGCTGAGGAACCGTAGGGGGCATCTGTCCTTGAGGTCGAGCTCCTGGGCCGTTCATGCTCATACCTCCCATGGGCCCACTTGAATGAGGGGGTTGACCTCCCATGCCGGGAATTGTGGGTTGCTGCCGGGGAGGCGGCGGCATCGGTCCGGAACTAGGAACCCGATTTCCAGGACTGGGCATAGGTCCAGTTTGGCTTCTAGAGGGCTCGTTTGGTGACGATTTAGGAGGTTGGTTTTGAAGGGGAACCGGTTGCTTGGCATGTTGTGGTTGACCAGGCAAATGACCTCCTTGTGGCGGGACTTGATTTCCCATTGGACCTTTGCTAAGATCGGAACCGGGATGGTTGGCCAAACCCTGCTTGTGCTTTTCGTCCGCCATCTAAAATTGGTACTTAATTAACAACTTAACTAATAATTTTTTCAAAATAGTGATTAATTTTCACACCATACAACAAGAAACCAAATCAAAATACACAATGCGATATCAAGAAATGAATGCCGCGCATACACATTTCCATAGATGAAGTCGATCGTTAAAATTTGAAGCGACTATAGACTATGGCCAAAGTGTTGTTGCCTTGTCTTACCATGAGAAGCAGCTATGTGCAAAGTGAAGAAACTAAATCAAGGCGGGCATATACAATCATTATTCAATCGCTGAATTGAAGTTTTTCGTCTTGTGTTCTCAATGTGACATCTTATAGCAAAAGAGAGATTTAAAGCTAAAAACATCCACAAATTATAATGATGGGGCCAGAAATGACATCACGAAGCGATGATATTAAGCTGATTGCTGATGATTGGCTGAATCAGCGAGTGGACTCACGCATCAATCAGTTTCACCTTTTTGGTCATCGCAATTACGAAGAATTTTCGACCTAGTCGTGTCAGTCGATACATTTTGCTTCCCGACGTCGAATACCCGACAACTCTGGCCGGTCCTCTTCGATTTGCCAAGTTTTCTTCTGGAACGTTCGGTGAAAACATAGTAGCGATGATTCGACCACCGATTCCAATTTTTGAATTTGACTGTTGATTGGGATGATTCGGTTTTTTGAACGAATCACCCCGAGTAACACTCGAGTCGCTTTTGCTAGAAGTAATTCTGCTCGAGTTGGTGGCAACTTGTTTGTTTGCTGTCGATTGAAGTTGCGAACTAGCAGAAGCTGCTTTAGCGTTGCGAATGATCTATAAAATATGGAGGATGTTTTATAACTTCAAAATGGTTTAATGCGAGCTTGTGTTTTTGCTGTTGAAGTTTGATGGACTCTGGTCTTGATGAGATGACGTGAGGTTATGAGATTTAACAACTATAGGTGTCTATATGCACAAATGCGCCCAAATTATCCGTGCCACCGATTCGGCACACTTTTTTGTTCAGCATCCATTTTAACTTCAAAAAAATGTTATTCCATATCTCAAAATTGAAACTAAAGTAAGAAAGACACCCGCTGAACAATTTGCATTAGAAATGAAATCACAATATGCAATTTAAAATCGTGTGTAGATAAGGCCGCGATATTTAACCAAAAAGAAAAAAAACTACGGAAGAAAAACAAAACTTCAAAACTCATTTAGGGACATACTTATACCAGTCACTTCGCCTTTTGCTTACATAAGATCGGTGCTAAGTAAAATCATGATTATTTATAAATTTAATAATGATATCAGATGCCGCCGCAAATTTTTCACAATAAAATAGAAGTGCTGCGTCGAAAATCTCACTGAATATATAATGCATGAAGGTAATCTTGATGCTTTGATAGATGAAAGTATGCCGACTATAACAAGAGGTGAAGAAAGGTCACGCTAATGTGTCGTGATGAACATTCTCTTGATTACTTCCCCATTTTCTTGTTTACTACCATCTTTGTTTACTTGTTTGTATGTGTTCACCTTTTTCAGTCGGGCAACCGCAACCACTTTCCTACCGAATCTACTCAATCTGAAAGTGGCACCCGACGCCGCGTATTGCGCCCCCACAGTGCTGTAGCCGCCTGCTACGTAATAGTTAGGGAGTCGACAGGAGGCGGAGGAAGTCTGTCCCCCAGCTGGACTGGCTCGGTGTTGCTGCTGCTGCTGCTGTTGGTGGGGGGAGGAACGAGAGGAGGGGCGCGAAGAGGAGTTGCCGCCGCCGCCACCACCACCCGAGGGCGCGTAGTTTAAGGCAGAGGCCTTTCACACACAACAAAATTAGAACAAGGGCCTTCAACTGTTCCTGCTAAATTGTTTTCAGCAAGGCCTGGTAGCAATAGCGCCAATCTTATCAACAAAAACTACTAAATTGTGGTAAAAATCTAATAATTTACCAAGAAATTGAGTGTTAACAAAACATGCGCTTGCGAACTTGGCAACTCAATAGAATACAAAATATTCAGGGTTTTGAACAATTAGGCGGATCTTGAATTATGCGGTTCCACTTTTAAAATGTTTTTGAAGAGTTTTCTCGTCCAAATAAACTCTAGTGTTGACAAAAACTACTTGTTACAAAATTTTCATTCATGAAAAAAATTCTTGTCATACAATTCCAATAATGGTTTTTCCACTTCTTTATAAGAATCGAGCTGCAAGCATTCTTTACAAGCAATTTTTGCATCACTGGAATTGTATGACAGGCATTTTATTCATCAGAAAAAAAATATTTTGAGCTTTTGCTTAAATTTTCGAAACAGCGAAGTTAAGTGTCAATAATATCCCACATAAAAACCAATCGAAGATTTGCCATCTGAGTTTTTCCATAAAACTTTGCATCAAAAAACTTGTTAGAAAAAACGTAGCTTTTTGTATTCAGATAGAATTTTTACTTTCAAAATTTCAATGGCTGAAAATCGTGGTTTGTTTCTTATTTGTCTCATTTTTATCATACCATAGAAATTTTTTTTTCGTTTTTGTAGTAAGAATATGACTTACCTTAATAGAATAATAAGCGTTTTTTTCTCGAAAAAGTCGAAAATTATGGAGCCACTTCTTTAAAATGCATTAACTTAGACAATTAAAGATGGGATTTATCAATTTCAGAGAATCCAACATCATTTATGGAAAAAATACTGATAATTTAATTTTCATAAATTGAGCTGGAAAGATAAACATTTGTCATAGATTAAATTCAAGAATTTGTTTGATGAACAACTTTGCCAAACAAATGACAATGACATATAATAATAAACAGATGTCAAATAATCATCGAAATGGGTTGAGTGATATATCATAATGAAGCCCATTTAGTCGTGATTTGAACGACATTAAAAATTTCCCAAAAAATCCCAGTGTTGAGAAAAAATTGTTAAAAAATTTTGTTTTTTTTTTCGACCGAATTCAGTGATGATAGTTTGTTAAGTTGGTCTTTCAGGCTAGGAAAAATTGGTTTCTTTTAATCGAAACTTGTTTTAAACGCTTTGGCACTTCAAAAGAAAAAATTTAAAAAAATTGTGCAAAAAAAAGAAAAAATTCCAATTTTTTATTTTTGGTATACTTTTTTTTGAAGACAACTACTGTTCTTATTTTTGCTTAACTTACTAACTTTTTACGCATGCATATATTTTTCTCATTTCAGCGCATATAAAAAACGACATTAATTTGGAGAAATTAATACTTTGAAGATCTTCATATTGTAGTTTTCAGGAATATTGTCGAAACATTCAATGCTACTTGCACAGCAACCGACTATAATTGTTTTTTTTTAAATAACTTTTGGGAATTGCCCCTACTACAAAATAGCTTCGAGTTTCGCTTAAAATCTTCTAGCTATCTAGTTTAAATATCGTATTCAGTTTGCGTCTACGTCTTCTCATTCTTCCAGAAATTGAGAGGAGCCAGAGCGTTGCTTTTTCCTGACAATTTTCAATAGTGAAAAACTTTTTTTTGGATTTTGTAAAAACTTTAATTAAAAATGGATGAAGGAAATCCAAATTTGAAAAATTGCTGATAATAGTCATCATTTTTGTAAAGTCAAGGTTGCTCAAAGATTGCCAATCTGAACTTATTTATGAACGTGTGGATGTAGTGAATTGTCCACCAAGTATTTTAAAGTCAACATTTTGAATCTAACTATCATATTACCATGATCACTTATTCTCTGTGAATCAGACACCTACCAATCGTGTATATGTTAACGTCAGCTTATGCGGTGCTCAAGCTGGCAATCTTCGTCAACTGTTGAAAGAGTATAGTTTGCTCATTCATCTCAAATGATTCTTGTATTTACTTATTGTTCCGACTTTCGATACGAAAGTAACGGAATATTTGTGTTCGGGGTGGGTTTTTTTTCTACAGACAAATTTCGACTTTTTAAAAAGCCTATTTTGACGGAAATTTTTTATATCATTCGAAAGGTATTGTTGTCTTGAGCTCAAATTTGAAAAGATATTTCACCTGTGATCTTTTTTTGTTAAATTATGGGGATTTAAAGATTGCCATTTTGGCCAATTTGGGACAATTAACGCGCGATATATTTCGCGCTACTAACGCGTAAGCGGAGAGTTAATCCGTCATAGAAATCGTTCCAAATTGGTTTAACGAAGCTTATTTGCCATAGTTGATATGTTACAAGTAGTGAAATCTATCCTTTTGTACTTTATATGGCGTGTGGGGGATGATTTTTATCAAAAAAATTTCAAATTTAAAAAGAAAAATTTCATTTTGTTTTATTACTTTTAATTTTTTAATGTTATTACTGCTCCATAAACCTTAATAGGCAGTTGGAACATTCAGGGCTTCGCCCTGATACGAGCAGTCTGGTTGTTTCGACTTTCGATACGAAAGTAACGGAAAGTTTGTGCTCGGGGTGGGTTTTTTTTCTTCAGACAAATTTCGATTTTTTAACTAGCCATTTTTGACGGAACTTTTTTATATCAATCAAAAACTATTGTTGTCTTGAGCTTAAATTTGAAAAGATATTTCACCTGTGATCATTTTTTGTAAAGATACGAGGGTTTAAAGGTTGCCATTTTGGTCATTTTGACCAATTTGGTACAATTAACGCGCGATATAATTCGAGCTATTAACGCGTAAGCGGAGATTTAATCAGTCTTAGAAATCGTTCCAAATTGGTTGAAAGAAGCTTATTTGCCATAATTGGATTGTTTCAAGGAACGAAATCTATCTTTTTGTACTTTATATGGCGTGTGGGGGGATGATTCTCATAAAAAATTTCAAATCTAAAAAATTTCATTTTGTTTTTTTTTTCAATTAATTTTTTAAAGTTATTACTGCTCCATAAACCTTAAAAGGCAGTCGGAACATTCAGGGCTTCGCCCTGATCCGAGCAGTCTTGTTTAACTTTCATTTTAATTCAACTCTATTATAGCTTACTCTATATATAGAGGTTTAGGAGAATTTGCAGAACGTTTTTTATCCATTTATCCTTGTATCAAGTGGGAAAGTGTCATTAGTCCAAAAATTCAGACCTGAGAGCAGCTTAAAACATCCAGCTCCAAGTCAAACTAAAATAACCGAATAGTTATTTTATTATTGTTCCGACTTTCGATACGAAAGTAACGGAATATTTGTGCTCGGGGTGGGTTTTTTTTTCTTCAGACAAACTTCGACTTTTTAACTAGCCATTTTTGACGGATTTTATATCATTCGCAAGTTACTTTTGTCCTGAGCTCAAATTTGAAAAAATATTTCACCTGTGATCATTTTTCGTAAAGTTATGAGGGTTTAAAGATTGTCATTTTGGCCATTTTGACCAATTTGGGACAATTAACGCGCGATATAACTCGCGCTATTAACGCGTAAGTGGAGATTTAATCCGTCTTAAAAATTGTTCCAAATTGGTTGAAAGAAGCTTATTTGCCATAATTGATTTGTTACAAGGAGCGAAATCTATTGTTTTGTACTTTATATGGCGTGTGGGGGGATGATTTTCATCGAAAAATTTTCAAATTTTAGAAAAAAGTTTTTCATTTATTTTATTTCATTCAATATTTTTATGTTGTTTATGATAGTACTGCTCCATAAACGTTAAAAGGCAGTGGGAACTTTCAGTACTTTGCCCTGATACGAGCAGTCTTGTCTAATTTAATTGCCAGTTTTGTCTTTTATTGGAAAATTTATGTTTTTTCACTCACAGCTTTTTGTCTAAAGTAAAAACAAGTGACTAGCTTGGGCAAATAGTTTCGACTAGCTTGGGAAAAAGACGTTTTCTCTAAGATTTTTGAACTTCATCTCAGTTTTACACTTCATTTTTAGAAATTTGTCTATTTCAGAGGTTATAGACAGACAGCAGCTAGTGCATTGCTGTCACGCGATGTGTCGCGTAATCTTTTGCGAAATATTGGAAGAGAAAAATATCAATCTAGCATAATCGCCTGTTTCTTTTTCCCGTTTGAAAACTAGAAAAATAGACACTGTTTGTAAAAACAAGTAACAAAATGCATTAATATTATAACAATTTAAGAATTATAACAACCACTTAGTTTTACCATGGTTACCTTCACAAGATTACCTGTTCTGAAAGTGGTTTCCCTTTGATAAGTCACCTCACCAAAAGGTAACCATTAGTTTTACCATGGTTTCTTTCCCAAGATTACTCGTTTTAAAAGTTGTTTCATTTGATAAGTAACCTCACTAAAAAATCTTCACGACATTCAATTTTTCAGACCATTCAACCCAATCAGTTGTTATGTACAAAAAATAAAAAACTGGATGATTTCAGGGAAAGTGTTGCACATACGCTTCGAACCAAACAACACATACGCTTCGAACCAAACAAACGCTGTGTGCCAACTTTTTTCGAACTTTTTTCTATTTGTTGATTATAAGACAAAACACTAAGAATTACATCTATTAAATTACTATTAAAGAAAGCAATTGTCATTTAGTTATATTCACTCACGTAAATACATGTGCCTGGGAAGCCCATTCGATTTGGAACTAACTTGGTACAACTATGATAGTTGGGTCCCTACAATATCTATAGATCTCTTAGAAAGTATAAACTTTAAAAGTTATGGAAAAACCATGAATGACAGTAAATTTGATTTTGTTAATTTATAACCGAAACGTTTGCGCCATTTTTTCATAGTTGCTTCATGTAAGGACCCAACCCAGCTACTATTCTTAAGCCACCAAACGGTGATTAAACTATTGTAGTCACTGGCAAGCTGACAGATTAGCTTAAACTTTTAAGATGTTCATTGGGATTATTTTTTTCACCTGAGGCGTTGGAGGCAGTTGATGTCCCTGTTTGCCGGACAGCGAGCCGGAGCTCCCCGATGACACGCCTGCTGGTTGCGGACCCATCCCTGGTCCGCCTCCCATTGAGGACCTGCTTGTGGCCGGCGAGTGCCCCGAGGACGTCGATGACGCGGCGGGAGATGGGGCTGAGGGGCGCTGGGGAATCTGCTGCTGCTGCGGTTGCTGTTGTTGGGGCGAGGGGATGGGTCCAGATGTTGGGGGCTTATTGTACTGCTGAGCCTGGACTGGAGGCTGCTGCTTGGGCATGGCGCCAACGTCATTATGAATGTGCCTAATAAAATTTGAGAACAAGATCATAAATATTATTGGGACAAAATCTGAAAAACCTAAAATTATTTCGCCTGCTACATGGTTAGCCGTTACTTTTTAAAATCCTGCTATTCATGCGTCACAAAACTACATAAAGGGCTTAGTGGCAAGTAGAATTTCGAGGGTATTCGTATGGATATTACTTCATGTCTGCGGGTGGTCCTGTTGCAGCCACCCCCGTCGTGACTCCCGCTGGCGTCACTGGTGTGGCAGAGACCCCCTTGGCAATGGCGTCCATCCTGCTCAACACCAGGTCAGCTATGGCTCGCTTGTCCTCCTCCTGTTTGTCCCCTATCAGCGGCATGCAACAGTCGTTTACCTGCACAGAAAGGAGAAACCATATTACTGGAAGACTGTGTGTCAATAATGTGTTGAATACTACATTGATAAACAACTCTTGTGGACAGAATTTTAAATAAATTTAAAATGGCCTCAAATTTTTTCAACTTACCTTTTTGAGTAGCTATTGGGAAAGCGAGTGTGATAATGGCCATTGGGAAAGCGAGTGTGATAATGGAATCGGTGAGTATTTTAATAGAAAATTTAGAAAAACAGTAAACATATGCGCTTGCTGTTTTTTGTCGTAATATTCTCCAAATTTTTTCATCAGAGACCCATCTTTAATTTAAGAACCATAGTTGTCCATCGCACCTAGATGTGATTTAAATATGATTACCTCTATGATGTAGTCCTTGTTGTCTCTGCCTCTCAGAGCACTGATTGCACACATGTCCAGTCCACCGAACAGATCGCACACCTGGTCCATCCACATGCGGAACCTAAAGTGCACTTCAGATGAGAATCACATCAGACAAACACTTGCTGATGCGACATTCGAAGAGAGAAAAATTCCAGAATGGTTGTGCTTGGGTGGTGTTTTTCGACTCCATAACTAGCCATTTTAGAGCGGAGTTTTTGTTAACAGTCTGAAAGATATTAATACCCTGAGCTCAGAGCTTAAAAAAGATATTTAACCTGCGACTATGTAAATTTATGTAAAGTCTCATGTACAGTTGTGGGGCTTTGAAAAAAGGCAAATTGGATAATTTTGGAAAGATAAATGCGCATCGCATGAATTTTGCAATTTTTGATTAATGCGTTGCGTGCGCGGCTAATTAATCTGTCGTCGAATTCATTATTCCGTCGTGATTTTCTGTTCTGCATGATGAAGAAAATATGTATTAGAAACATTTTAGGACCAGTCACCAAAAATGGATATCTCAAAATAGTACAAAGGGGGGACCCTATGGGTCGGCAGGGTGTCGAATCCCTGAGGAAGATCTTCTATTAGTGTTAACCTTTTCTTTATCATAGACCACTCCTATTAGATCAGGGGCGGATCTAGGATTTTCTCGAGGGGGGGGCGGATTTTCAAAAAAAATTCGAAAATTTTGACCTTTTTTTTTAGGTCGACCAAATTGATTTTTCGAGCTCTCCCAAAGCACTGTTTTGCCCCTATTTTGGCAAAAAAATTTTGCGCAGCAGGCAAATTTTTGAAAAAAACGGTCAAAAAAGCCGTTTTTGGGTGCTTTTTCAAAATTTTTGACAAAAAAATCGCGTTTTTTTTTGGCGCGCGCTCCCCCTCAAAGTTAGTATATATTGGCGCCAAAGGTCGGCCAAAAATGGATTTCTGAAAAAGTATCAAAGGGGGGACTCTTTGGGTCGGCAGGAAGTCGAATCCCTGAGGGGGAGAAGCGTCCCCCCCCCCGCACCCCCTAAATCCGCCCCTGTATTAGATTATTTCATTTTTTGGTTAATCATTGATCAATTTTCATCAACTAGTGAATTTTTCCATCAGAAGTCCGAGTTCATTATTTTGGCCAGGATATGTGAATGAATCTATTCATTGAGTGATGACTCACGTATCGTTCATGTTGACCTGCTCCACCACAGCCGAGCCCAAGTTAGATTTCCACACTGAGGTCGACGAAGTGCGCCTGAAACACGCAAGCAAATGGTCAAGTCAAGGTCAATTATGACATATTTCTAACCCCAAATCAATCAATCACACTACTTCTTTTTTTCCGTAATCAAAAAGCTATTTTTAAATGTTCAATTACATTCTTGGGGTGATTTACAGATTTAATTGGACACTTTCGCTTGAAATATCCGGCTCTACTTGTCACTTTAAGTCTAGCTAAATGTCAATCGTGTGTAAAGAACGAATGAAACTGGTAAAGAGAAGCAATATATCATCACATTTACTGCAGTCACACAACTAAACATAACTTTGGAGTGGTTCCCCAAGAAAAAACGTGAATCTTTTTTTCCAGGATCTTGAAACATTGAAAAAATTTACAAAAAAATGTGAGAATTTTTTCTAATCTTTTTGGGCAACAATTTAAAACTTTTCATTAAAAAAGTTCTGCAAAGGAGCGCTGAATGAAACTCTTAAAACTAGTTTTCTTGTTTGTAAAATCAAATTTTTTACCATTAACGAGTCATTTTTATTTAAAAAAAGGCTACTCGGTCGCTTTACTCGCACAAAATTAGACTAAAAATCGAAAATATAAATCAATTTTTCTCAACATGGGGAAACTTTTTAAAAATTATTTTTTATTTTGTTCGAATCAAGTCTCAAAGGGACTCGAATACGATATATCTCTCGACCCATTTCGATGATTTTTTGTGGTGCCTGATTTTCTTGTTTTTCAAGTAAAACACCCGAATCTAAAGTTCCTTCTCATTTTCAATGGCCGGAACAGAAAAAAATTTTCGTGCAACGATTTCTTTTCATTCCAGCCCGCTTACTTTTGCTTTTTAAAAGACTAGTTTCTCGTAAAACACACATTTATTTTAGAAAGGACATTCTTGAAAAATTTGTTGTCCCTGGAAAATAATTGTGATAAATTAAATAAACCGGAAAGTGGAATACATAATTTTCAAGCGAGCTTTAAGCTGTTTGGTAAACTCATTGTAGCACATTTCAAAAGAACCATAAACGCAGTTTTTTCTCTTTTTTTGTGTGCAGAAAACATTTGGCAAATTAAGATTATGTTTTGGAAAGTCAATTTGGTTGACCTAAAAATATGGAGAAAAATGAACATGGAGAAGGTAAACAAATATGTGACTGGTTATTTTTTGTCTGTGACTGATTAATGTTCCCACAATTAAAATTGGGGATAAACTTTGTATTCAGGTGTGTTTTAGTTTTTTTTTCTTTGTTTTCCACTTGAGATCAGGTGCAGCAGGTAGTCATCGAAAAAGTTTGAGTGGTTTATCATATTACAGCCATTTCAGTTGCAATTTGAACGATACTAAAACTTTTCAAGAGTTTTTTGAGTAAGTCTAAATGAAGCGAGCGAGCAGGCTTATATTGGTTGAACCTTGCTTGAGTTAAGCCGTAATATCAAAAAACGGCATATTAGGATTCAAAACTTCATAAAATTTCAGCAAAAAAAATTAGAGAAAATTTTCAATTTTTCGCTTATTTTTTAAAGTACATAATTTTTGTTTTTCTAGTCATTTATCATTTTTCTAGAAAAAATTTTGTCCGATAAGACCAGGGGCGGATCTAGGATTTTTTTGAGGGGGGCGGATTTTCAAAAAATTTTGACGAAATTTTTTTTTTTTTTTAGGTCGACCAATTTGATTTTCCGAGCTCTCCTAAAGCACCAAATAGTCCTCCTTTGATGAAAAACAGGTGAAAAAAGCCGTTTTTAGGCACTTTTACTTTTTGATTTGAAAAATTTTGACAAAAAAATTGCTTTTTTTTTGGCGCATGCTCCCCCTCAAAGTTAGTATACATTGGCGCCAAAGGCGCCTTTAGAAAAATTTTAGGGTCGGTCGGCAAAAATGGATTTCTTAAAAAGTACCAAAGGGGGGACCCTTTGGGTCGGCAGGGGGTCAAATCCCTGAGGGAAAGGGCGTCCGCCCCCCCCCCCGCCCCCCCCCCCTAAATCCGCCCCTGGATAAGACTATTTTACTATGATTATCAAATATGCCTACTTTTAATCTATCGTTCAGAACTTTTTCAGAACAAAAAAAACGACACTAACATGAAAAAACCTTAAGACTATAGTGGGAACATTCTGTGCTACTTGCAGAGTATCCAGCTATCCTTCATTTATTAGTAAACTGTCTATCTATCTCTGTATGAAACAAATATTTCAACCAAAGGATAGCCAGCTGCTGTGCAAGTGCCGACCAGAACTGAAAGTGCCGACCATAAAATAAAAAAGAACTTTTGGAATTTTTTTCAAAATCTTTAAAATCTTAGCAGAGTTTTATCATTTCTATGATTTTTTCGCAAAAGTTGCTTAAACTTCCGAAAATTAAATTCAATGAACCAGGCGCGGATCTAGGAATTTCTCGAGGGGGGCGTGGGCGGATTTTCAAAAAAATTGGATAATTTTGTCTACCTTTTTTTTGGTCGACTAAATTGATTTTCTGAGCTCTCCCAAACCACTATAAAGACACTAATTTGACCAAATTTTCTGCGTCGCAGGCAAATTTTTGAAAAAAGGCCAAAAAAGGTGTTTTTAGGCACTTTTTGGAAAATTTCGACCAAAAAATTAAGTTTTGTCGGTGCGAACTCCCCCCCCCCTAAAAATTAGTATAGATTGGCGCTGAAGGCGCCTTTAGAAAATTTTTAGGGTCTGTCGGCAAATATGGATATCTCAAAAAAGTACAAAGGGGGGACCCTTTGGTCGGCAGGGGTCGAATCCCTGAAGGGGGTGCGTCCGCCCCCCCCCTCTTAAATCCGCTACTGAAATGAACTAAAACTGAGTTTTCACGGCTGAACTTGATTTTTGAGACTACTATTAAAAACTTGTTATAGTTCTAGTAAATTCGCTGTACTCGCTCAAAATTAGACTAAATATCCAAAATTTTGAACAATGACAATGAAAATGTTTGGAATTTATGAAAGTCTTTCGAATCACGACTGAAAGGGCTTTAATATGATGAATCATTCGACCCATTCCTTTGAGATTATTAATGGTAACTGATCTTGCGTTCCTGATTATGCTGAAAACAAAAATTGAACAAAGCTCCTCTCCATTTTCAATGATTGGAACCAGGGGCGGATTTAGGGGGGGGGGGGGGCGGGGGGGCGGACGCCCTCCCCTCAGGGATTCGACCCCCTGCCGACCCAAAGGGTACCCCCTTTGATACTTTTTCAGAAATCCATTTTTGGCGGACCGACCCTAAAATTTTTCTAAAGGCGCCTTTGGCGCCAATATATACTAACTTTGAGGGGGAGCGCGCGCCAAAAAAACGCAATTTTTTTGCCAAAATTTTTCAAAAAGTGCCCAAAAAGGGCCCAAAATAGGGGCAAAAACAGTGCTTTGGGAGAGCTCGAAAAATCAATTTGGTCGACCTAAAAAAAAAAAAAAAAGGTCGTCAAAATTTTGGAAAATTTTTCGAAAATCCGCCCCCCCCCCCCCCCCTCGAGAAAATCCTAGATCCGCCCCTGATTGGAACAATGGTTGCTTGAGGAAATAAGCATTTTTGATCGACTTGGAACAGTTTAAAATTTTTTATTAATTTTCGAAAACCTCCCCGGAGATAGCCTTAAATCCTTTTCTGATAAGAATGACGGCTGCGTCTTTTGACACTCACATGTAGACCTTGTACTGGTTTCCTATTTTCTGCACTCGGAAGTCGAACTTGCTGTCTATGAATGGCTCAGAGGTGCAGTGTGTGTTAGCCACCTGAACCAGTCCACACAGCTCCTCGTAAGTCTGTCCATTGTCCACTCGCACCTTCCCAACTCCCCCGTGCTCATGGCCCACTTTCAACACTACTGGGAAACGAGGCTTGTCCGTCTGAAGATATAAAAGACCACACAGTTAAGCAAATTTTTTTTAGTTATCCTCCCTATTGAAAAGGGGAATTCGTTCATAAGTATAAAATTCGTGAAGAAGTAAAAATTATATATACAATTAGAAGTTTTATCGATACATCTCTACTATCTGTCCCTACAACACAGATATAAAATATGCGTATTTTTAAAGCACCACTTTTTCATCGGTTTCAAGTATACTTTACTAAATAGCTGCATCAAGTTTCATTAGCTGCGGTTAGTATCTTGATAATTTAACTTTCGTTAATTAAACTCCAAACTCTTTGAATATGAAACCGGTTTTGCGAAGTCAGAAGCATCACTATGGCTTTAGTTTTTGCGACCTTTAAGAACATTTGGGCAATTTTCTTATTTGGGAAAATCTACGTACGGACAAATGGTCGCACTACCTCTAAATCAAATTTGAAGAGATAATGCAATTGATGCTGAAAATACTCTTCTAAAGTAATCTTTTTGCTTTATGTGTAATTATTGAACTGTGATAAAAAACAAACCCAAGCACGAAAATTAATTTAACCCATTGTCAGATTCGTAAACATGGTTAGAACATTTTTTTATAGCTTCAAAAGTTTTAGTTTTATCTTTTCCTGTCCATTTTAATTATAGTAGCAATTTCTGCTACGTGGGCGGAGTGATAACTCGGTGCTTAATCAAATGTAATCGACTTGTCAAATCACTCGCCCCAGTCGAGAGTTGATTTATCAGCCTCAGGGATACGAAATTACAGTGAAATCAAAAGCAAAATCGACTTATAATTGTTTGCGGGGGATGTGTGTAAGATATTAGAGCTGATGTCAAAAAAAACTGGCGGACTTCTCCATCAATTGTTTTCTTCTGTCGACTAAGTGTGAAAACATTTTCTGACGCAGATTCTGCTGAAAGAAAAAACCGCTGGGGCATCGAAAGCTTGCTTTTTGGCTGTAGCTTACCATCTGCTTAGAGGTTGGGTAGAACACCTGCTCAATCAAGGGAAACTTTTCTTTTCCAAGTTTCTTCTGCAGACCCACCAGTTGAGAAAACTGCACAAAAACAGATATTTAAAAATTATAGAATAATATTTTAGGTTGATCGAGATAGAAGACTGAGTTCGGTTTACCGTCCACGGTTTGCTCTGGAAGTTGTACACTGCATTCAGTGAGTTAACACTGGGAACTGAGCCGAACTGGAGTGCAATTAGCAGATTGGTAAAGTCATCAGTGGCAGTTTTTGGTTGCTGTCTCACTAAGACGAAGTCCGGTCTAAATGTCCTGAAAAAGAAAAATATGCATTAGTAGTTCTTTTCAAACATTTTGAGTAAAGATTTAAAGAGGCTTTCTCCTTTTTTATAGCTCACTCGAAGAGAGTTCCTGATCTCGGGCGTTTTCAGTTATACCCAGTAAATAATGAAAAGTTGAAAACAAAATTTTTGTTGCAAAATTGGATTGATATTACTTAGAAATGCTGTTTTTTTAGCATGGCAGATGCCAAAACGAAGCAATTTCGTTTAATTTACCCTCAAATAGGTCCTTTTCCTTGTTTTCTCACCGTTTTTTTTTTTCATATAAATTTCACAAATCGGAAATCAAATGCGTTCTGCGTCGCTGTTTAATTCTCATTTCTTTCAGTTTTCCGAATCGATTCAAGGCTCTGGATATCAGCCTTGTGTTTTCATTTTTTCTTTTCAATTTTTATCATTTAAGGATTCTGATCTCAACCTAATGCTAAATACGAAATAAATTTTTTTAGGGCAGTATACTTAATAAGGTAAAACACACGAATTTTTTTGCAGTTGGATCTGGATTAGAAGCAGTTACCTTAAAAATATATTCTTGTGAGTCTTAAGAGTCGGTCAAAATTTATTAAAATAAGCCTGACTATTCTGGTTCCAAATTGAATTAGTTTCCACCTGAAAAATAGGGGCAAATAAAAAGCACTCTGATAGTCTCTTTGACTGCGTTTTTTGTTGATTTGAACTTTGCGGTTACACACTTTTTTGCAACATAGTAGGTGGCGCCAAACTTCTATCTTTTTGCTTATATTTTTAGCACTTGTTTATTTTCAGCGCCAAGTAAACACTGGATATCTTCTATAGTTTTTCCCAAGGGGGTCAAAGCCATCAAAGCAGTTCTTCTTCTAATTTTATTATCTGCATTTTTGTTTCGAGGTGGCTTTTTTCGCAGAGTATTAAATCAACGAATCTGAAGTAGGAATGGCTTGTGACAATTCATTCATTTTCTCAAGAATTTCTTTTCAGTCAGTTCGAACACATTTTTGACGTGGACTTAAGGGCCTAATTTACACCGTTTTGCTCCCAGGGAAGACATAAAAGGTATTCTGTTTGTTAATGGAAGTAATATCCATTTGATCCCGTTAGCTGGTTCACCCGTCGGCTTGATAACCCAGCAACATTTTTTCAAAATTTCACGCGCAGGGTTCAGCCGCAGGGCTCCTTAAAGACACGACTCCTCCCTACAAAGTGTGCAAATTGCAACCAAAATTTCAAATTGAAATCTATTTTTGACCAAATGAGAGAAAATGAGAGACACCTGCGATGGCCACGGTCAGTAATTGTAAGCAAAAGCAAAAGTTACTTCATCCCATCAGAAAAAAGTCGGGAAAAAGTCTACAATAAATGATTTTCTTTGTTGATAAAAAGTCTTATAAGGTAAAAGAAACTGAGCTTATTTTTCCAACAGAGAATTCGATGCCGTCATTTTTTGGCTTTATATGCATGAAGGTCTCCAAAATGGAATGTTGGAATGTCAATTTATAGATGATCTACTTTCTGGTTTTTCCTTAGTACTATTTCATGCAGTAAAGGGTTTCCAGACCACCTCCCCTTCCAGTAGAAATTGGAACTTTTCACTGCCCAGAGCCTTTTGTACTACTTTATGACATTTTCTTGGCTGACCGGCCCTAAAGTTTTTTTTTAAAAGTGCCATGCACTGGACGACAATATATACTGGAGTTTGAAAGAGAACGACGAGCTGAACAATAAGCGCTTTTTGTACAACTTCTATAAAGTGGCCAAAATTGCTATCTAAATTTTTATTGAAAAATTTCGAAATGCAGAAATACAGACAAAAAAGAAGGAATAACTTTATAGTGTTTTGGGAGACCTCAAAAATTAATTGGGCCGGCTTAAAATTTTCAAGTTTTTGAAAACTTTTCCTTAATTATTATTTTTATCTAGTTTCGTTGAAACTGGAATGACTTTTTCCTGTGTGTAAGAACTGACCTGACGACTTTTGGTCCTCCTCTGCTGATGTGCATCTCAACTGTGGCTCCGGTGTCCGAATGCGACTTCACAGAGATCTCCGCGAACTCAGCCTGAACAAACAATTATGTCATACTGTTGCGTAAATTATTGCGCTAAATCATTTAATTGTGTAAATCAATTAGTCAGATAGAACGCAGGGTTTGTAATTCTGGCAGCTAACCTGTTCTACTCTAATGTCATAGTCTCCATACAGTTTGCGCCCCCGGAAGTATTTATTCCTAGAAAAAAAAAGAGCAACGTCTATCTTAGATTATACGTCCAAAAAAAAACAAATAATTCATAAAATAATTTATAGATATTTGATTCAGGTATGAAATGACTCTAAAAAGCAAACGAGGTAGTGCACAATTATTTAAAACAGCTAACCAGGCAAGACTCAAGGTATTTTATCTTAATAATTCATTTTTTTGTCAAGTGTTTCTCGCAAAGAAAAACTAGTTCAAGTCCACTTTATATTTTGGATCCAGTCTGTTCAATTTTTTAAAATCAAAACAAAAGTACCAATCTGTCTGTGGGTCGTCAATGACTAATAGAATTTTAATCTTGGGCAGTGCCGCATTCTTGGCAGTCTCCGCTACATTCTGGGCCTTCTGGGTCAAAGAGGAGAAAAATCCACCCATTCCCCCTCCCGCCGAGGGGGTCGGCTGCTGTTGGGGAGTTGAATTTGCCTGGGCTGACATCTGCATCTTTCTCTGCTCTGGTGGAGAGCTAGGAGCGCTGCCCGCACCTGAAGGCAAATATCAAAGATAATTGTTTTAAAACTGACAAAGTCTGCTTAAGAAATACGTGCAATTGTTCTGGGCTTGGTAATTTTGCCTCACCCTCGAGCAATGAGCGCGGATCATGGTGTGTCTCAAAGATCCGGCCTTTCGGTTGGCAAGCGGATACATAACCAATTTGACACCACACCGCTATCAGTTGCTTCTATCACGTTGAATGATGCAGGAAAATGTTAAGCAGGAAAATTAACCAAATGTTAAGACTACAAGTGATTTAAACGACAATCGAAGGACATTCAGCGTTACAAAAATTAAAAAGAACTGATCTTTTTGAACAAGAAACTGCTGACCTCGATTTTGGAATGAATAAATTTCATTTTCATTTTGTTAGTAAAATTTTATGTTGAAAGAGTTAGCAAATGGGCGCGATGAAATAAGAAGTAATGGGAATTGGACGAAAGTAAAACAGAAGACCTAAGTCGAAAAAATGAGATTTACGTTTTCAGTCTGTTTTTTCAAAAACTCACCTGCAGCGCAGAAGATTTTCAAATTATAGCGTCTTTTTAGTGTTTCTCAATATTGACTCACAGGGGGCACTCTGTAAGTCAATATTGAAAATCCACCACTCCACCCCTACCAAAACAATTGTAGATCTGTATCTGTGCCTGCCAAGTTAAACATATGAAAAGTTTTATGCTAAAAAAATTTTGTGTTCCGTCTCGGTTGTTTTTTTTCAGTGCAATAATCATAATGTGCTGTTTACTTTATTAAGTTTAAGTCAACAATTGAACAAAAATGTCTTTTAGCTGGTTTTAAATTTTTTCCAAGTCTGAGTTTGGTTAGGCAACTTTTCAAAACGTCAAAAAAACTTAGAAATTTAAGATCTGCCAACAGAAAATTTTTCTTGAAATTTTTCAACTTGATTTTTTCCGTTATACCCCACGTGGTGATTTTTACAAGTGAGGTTTTTGCCGCTTGTCTTGTGTTTTTTTTCAAGTTTTACGCACAGTTCCTTCGACGCGCGGTAAAACAAAATTGGCACAAAAAACTACCAGCATCTCAAATTGTTTTTTATTCAAAAATCTTTTGAACAAAAATGCGGCAGTAACTGGTTGTTCTCAAAGTTATAATTGTCTATCCCGAAAAAAAATAGTTGTAGTGCAACTTTGATTAGTTCTTATTAATTCTGAGAAGCGCAATTTAGATAACAGGGCTTTGAACAGTGCCGAAGTACAATTGTGCTTCAAACGTGCGTCAAAAATAATTTTATAAAAACAGCCGAAAAGGAAACCAATAATGTCAAAAACCGAAAGAACAAAAAAAAGTTCTTGAAAGCTTGAAATATTGTTTTTAACAGACAATACACAAAGTTTTTTAATAACCTCTTTGATGCATACGTTTTTTGATGCTATTATCTTTGCTGCCTCTTAAATTGTTTTATTTTTCTAGGTGCTCTGATGAGTTTCTTATATTAAAAAATTAAAAAATTTTGATACATTTTTTAGATTTTTTCCTTTTTACTTCAACTTTTGGAGCAAAATTTGGATTGAATTAACAATTTTTTATTTGAAATTTCATTCCAGTTGTCACAACTGCTCTCATTGGTTTCAAAATACTCAAACAATTTTAAAATCTCTCGTAAGTTTTGGAGAAATTTTTTTAGCAGAACTAACAGGCTCTAAAGGTGACCTAACCAAACAATGAAATTTTGTGAAGTAGTTTCATAAATAGCTTAACGGAAAAGGAAATGACAATCTAATAGCTCCTTTTACACCTTCTGGCAAAGTAATGCTATTTTTTTAGGAATGATACTTTTTATTTAACTGTATGCGTTTTTTTTTACCTTTCTTAATTAAAAATTAGGGGTTTCGAACTAATTCTGCAAATTCCTAGATACCGTTAAAAACAAAAAACTTGAGCTTGATGGGTGTAAATTAAATTAGTGATTGAAACCTGAAACTTTGTTAATTCAAGGCGTTGAATTTGGTATTATTGCATTTTTGAGCATACTTTTGCGGAATAAGTAAAAAGACCTAAAAACTACAAAGCTTTTGATTTTTTTTGGCTTTGTTGACAAAAGTTATCACAACAGACAATATTTTAAGTTTCAGCACTGTTAAAGAAATTTTGTCGGCAATATTGTACATATTTTTTTCCTCAAACTAGCTCGATTATAATTGCTTTAAGATACCACCAAAAAGTGTTAAGCTAGTTTGTTAATGTTTCGGGTAAGTTTTATATAGGATCAGTTGAAGACAATCGCTGTTAACTAATAAGGAGCGCGAAAACTTTTGGTCTAAAAAGTACTCTTTTTTCGATAGCCAAAAAAATAAAGATATCTTCAATTTTTGTCTTATAAACGCATTAACCATTTCTTTTGTACATTTTCCATGTGTTTACGGCATGAACTCTATTTGCCAATGAACAAATATGGCATTTGTTTTCGTCACAAACTCCACTCTACGGTACTTCTTGAAACTTTCTTACACTTTTCTACGGCAAATTGAGGCCAAATTATATGTTTTGCTTACTTTTTAAGATATACTAAGAGCAAAAAATAACAAAAAAAGTAATGATTTTTTTCTCAATCGCTTTTGATTAGTCATAATTTAAACAGTTTCTTGAGAATAATTCGACAGCTAAAGGTCATTTTTTTTTGGAAAAAAAAGACATTTTAATCTCTGAAGTGGAATTTTAAAAGTTTTTGAAGCTTTTAAAAAAGGTTATTATTTAGGGTTTATAAACGAGGAAAGTATAATGGAATCTTGAGTCTACTCATAAATTGCATTTGAACCAATCAAAACAAATTAAATTGGATAGAACTGATGGTTTTACAAAATACATCTTGTTAAAAATTTTTCTAAAAATAATGCTGATAATTTGACCAACCTTAACTTAATGCTGTTTTTCGACTGTGAGAAGCAAATTGTTGTCTGATTTTTTTTGTCGGTTTGACTGTGATGTCCATACCGTATTTTTATCTTGCACTTTGCACCATTTCAATACAACATATGAAAAACACATCCGCATTCTTTTTGATTTTAAGTTTGTTCAGAAAGAATTTGTCTATCGATTAGTATTTGAGAGAAAATAACGGATGATTAAATTGCGACTTTGTTAACCATTTCCCTATATGGTACCTAGAAAAAAAAATTGCCCCTATCAAAGACTTATAAAATGATTGTGAAGTTCTTACTTTAATTCTTTTTTTCATTTCCTCATTAGCGTACCATTAGTTTAAAAAACGGAAGTTAGTGTCTATAAACGACAATGATTCTTTTTTGTGAGTAATGACTTTTCCTGTCATCAGTTGAAACCTACGCAATTTTCAAAGCAAAGAAATTTCAAACAGAAATTTTGTCGATACAAAGCTTCAATTTTTTTGTCGTTCCAGAATATGATTTTTCCTTACTAGGTATTGTTTGTTCCATATTTTGTTCCATTTTTTAAACAACAGATTCCTTACTTTAAATTGGGAGTTTTTGTGCTACTTGGAATATGCAATACATTCGGGTCCTCCCTCTGTACTATTGTGAGATATCCATTTTTGGTGACAGACACTAAAATTTTTCTAAAAGTTTCTTGGGCGCCAATATATATCAATTTGAGGGGGAGCGTGCCCAAACAAAACGCATTTTTTGGCCTGTTTTTTTTTCAAAAACTTGCCTGCGGCGCAGAAAAATTGGTCAAAATGTGGTCTTTATAGTGATTTAGGAAAGCTCAGAAATCAATTTGGTCGACCTAGAGGAAAAAAGTCGGCAAAACTTTCAATCCGTCCCTCTCGAGAAAATCTTAGATCCGCCCCTGGTTAAATTAATGACATAATTTTGATTTATAATGCATTTTATATCCATCAGTATTTGTACAAACCGGCTGAAATGGAGATTATTTTTTTGCAGTAATGGAAAATATGCAGCCAAAAAATTATGCACAATTTTAGACAAGAAGACAATTTCGTTGAACATCGAACTAAATTTCACAAAAAAATTAGTTGTTCTTTTTGTTGTTACAAAACCATGAGAAGAAACGAAACTTTTTAAATTCTTTATCGCTTTGTAGCCATATAAAATTTTCAGAGATCGAATAAGTTTGACATTTTGAATTTTTTTGTGCAAAATGCAAAATCAACAAAACTGCTTTTATCAGGGCAAAGCCCTGAATTTTTCGACTGCCTCCTAAAATCTATGGAGCAGTAATAACATGAAAAAATTAAATATAATAAATTAACATGATTTTTTTTAAATCGAGATTTTTTGTGAAAATTATCCCTCACACGCCATAGAAAGTGCAAAGTGATAAATTTCGCTCCCAGTAATAAACCGATTTTGGCAAGAAGGGTTAAAGATTTCTAAGAAGGGTTAAATCTACGCTTACGCGTTAATACTGCGAAATATATCGCGAGTTAGTTGTCCCAAATTGGCCAAAATGGCAATATTTATACCCCCATATCTTACCGAAAACCAATCACAGGTGAAATATCCTTTCAAAATTAAGCTCAAGACAACAATACCTTTTAATTGATATAAGAAATTTGTCAAAATAGGTTAGTTAAAAAGTCGAAAATTATCTGAAGAACAAAACCATTTCGAGCACAAATATTCCGTTAATTTCGTTACGAAAGTCGGAACATTAACCCAAATGGTAGTCCAACGACTTGAGGTTGCTAAAAACTAGTTAGGAACAATATAATTTTTTTCAGGGTTGCAATTTTTATGAAAAATCATGTTTGAAACTTGTTTAAACACGTTTAATTTTTTATCCGGGACTCAATGTTTATAACATATTAAAACATTGGTTAAAAAACCTATTTAAAACAGGTTTACACACGTTTGGCACAGTGTTTAAAACACTGAAAAATTTAGTGTTCAAAATAACTTCTCTGACTTGCAGATTGTCTTGTAAGCTTTAACTAACTGAACTGTATTAGTGAAAAAATCTCCTCGATGGATTTCGTGAACGAGGTATCGAGCGCCGAAACTGGCTCGAAAGTGCCGAGAAACGGTAAATT